AGTGAGCGAGAGGGAGACCCGAGTGAGCGAGCAAGAGGGAGACCAGAGTGAGCGAGCAAGAGGGAGACCAGAGTGAGCGAGCGAGAGGGAGACCAGAGTGAGCGAGCGAGAGGGAGACCAGAGTGAGCGAGCGAGAGGGAGACCAGAGTGAGCGAGCGAGAGGGAGACCAGAGTGAGCGAGCGAGAGGGAGACCAGAGTGAGTGAGCGAGAGGGAGACCAGAGTGAGCGAGCGAGACCGAGACCAGAGCGAGCGAGAGGGAGACCAGAGCGAGCGAGACCGAGAACAGAGCGGCGACCACACGTTTATTGTAATATCCTGAGGTTTTCATTGTTGATGAATCATCTTTCAGTGAAACTCTAACATGAACTGAAGGTCTCTAACTTTTCCGGTGTGTTGTTGTTTTTGTTGTCTTTAGGCCTGAGCTCAGAGGTTGTTGTTGTTGTCTTTAGGCCTGAGCTCAGAGGTTGTTGTTGTTGTCTTTAGGCCTGAGCTCAGAGGTTGTTGTTGTTGTCTTTAGGCCTGAGCTCAGAGGTTGTTGTTGTTGTCTTTAGGCCTGAGCTCAGAGGTTGTTGTTGTTGTGATCAGGCCTTCAGAGTCCAGGTCTTTGTTCAGACCAGAGGAGATTCTGATCAGCGTCGAGTTTCTCTGCTTCTGTTTTCTGTGACGCATCAGTGACAAGTCTGTGTGAATCTGACACTGCCCTGAAAGTGTGTGTGTGCACGTTTGTGAGACTATGTGCGAATGTGAGACTATGCGTGTGTGTGTGTGCGCACATTTGTGTGCATGTGACACATGTAATGCATGTAATTGTGTTATGTTTCAATGGCTGTAGTTTTTCTTTTTGTTTTTTTTGACTTTATATAAAAAAAACAACTGTTTGCAGGCGTAAATTATCTGTGGAAACATCTGGGGGGAAGGACTTTGGTGCAGCACAACCAGAGAAGCGTCAGGCTCCGAAACCTCCCACAGCGACGTCTGAGAGAGAAGCACGAGACCGAGACGCCAAGACCGCCAGCGTCCGCCCTCGCCGAGCCGAGCCGGTCCCGGTCCAGAATGTCCCACAACCGTCCAGGACCACGCCACGAAAACCAGCCCCTCTGAGACCGGGATCAAAGAAGGAGGAGGTTCCCGCGTCAGAGGGCTCCCATGGTCTCAGGCTTCATGGTACGCTGGGATTTTGGGTAAAACAAGAAAAAAAAAAGGCATTTAAATCCTGAATAATCAGACGGTGCATAAAGACTTGCCAGAGAAGAAGCCTGTCTCACATTTTTGAGAAGACTGTTCTAGATTTTAGCTGCATACATCTGCGGTTCCTCACAGTTCCTTTTCTTATAGCTTGCTTCTCGCTGGTGTCACAATAACACATTTACAGACTGTGAAACTAATTTTGAAATCCAAATATCTCTGACCTACAGTTATCAGTTAAAGAAGTATTTAAACAGAGCAGATATTCATGACTTTTGGACAGATTAGGGCCCTTAAATGATGACTGGACATGAAAATCTTACATATAGTTACTTTAAGAATTGCGATATTTGGGACACATGATTTCAATATTATTTCAATACTATAGACTCGTCACATTTTTGATCCTTCCAGCCCTTATACACACATACACACACGCACACACAGACACGCACGCACGCACAGAGACACAGAGACACACACACACACACACAGAGATACACAGACAAACAGACAGTCACACATAGACACACACAGAAGCACACACGCAGAAGCACACACGCACTCACACAGAAGCACATGTACACAGACACTCACAAACGGACACACATGTCTTAAGAGCCATGTTTTCTTCAGGTGTTAAGCCACAAAGGACCAGCCTCAGCTTGAACCCGTTCGAAGACGATGAGTCTGAGCAGATCCTGGACCAGACTCACATCAAAACCAGATCTCCAAAGACTGCTCCTGCCCCCGCTCCTCCTGCAGTCACCTCCCCCGGCCCGGGCACCGAGGGAGGGGCCGAGGGGACCAGGGGAGAGGCCGACCAATCACAGCACAGTTCACCTGCTCAGAGACCCTCACAACCAGAGGCTGCAGAGGAGACTGTACAGCAGGATGCTCCCCCCCCTGTCCCCACACGGAGGTGAGACCTGCTCTGTGTCGGTTTTAAGTTCTCACTGCATCCAAAAGAACCATATGTATTATTGACCTTTTATTGAACCAGCTCTATGTAGTCTCTCTGGTCTCTCTCTCTCTACTCTCTTTCTGGTCTCTCTCTCTCTGGTCTCTCTCTCTCTCTACTCTCTGTCTGGTCTCTCTCTCTCTGGTTTCTCTCTGTTCTCTCTCTCTCTCGCTGCTGTCTCTCTCTGGTCTCTCTCTGGTCTATCTCTAGCCTCTCTCTCTCTGGTTTCTCTCTGGTCTCGCTCTATGGTCTCTCTCTCTCTTTCTGGTTTCTCACTGGTTAGTATTTGGGCTCTCTCTTTTTGGTCTCTCTCTCTGGTGACTCTCTCGTCTCTCTCTCTGGTCTCTCTCTCTGGCCTCTTTCTCTGGTCTCTCTCTCTCTGGTCTCTCAGTTCTTATAGTTCCTCTCACTCATGTTTGTTTGCAGACTTCTCCCAGTGAGACCTCTCAGTCCTTTGGATCCATCGCCTGCTCCCTGTGTTGAAGAGCAGAAACATGAGAAACCCTCCAGAGACACCATCAATGCCACAGAACAGGTATTTTACTCTCTCAATAATAATCTCCTGATGAAGTCTTTTACAGAGACAAAAACAAAGGGACGTCCTCCTGCCTGAACGGTCTTTTTCTGGTCTCTCTCTAGGTTCTATCTGGTCTCTCCCTTTCTCTGGTCTCTCTCTCCCTCTCTCTGCTCTTCCTCTCCGCGCTCTCTCTGCTCTCTCTTTTTGCTCTCCCTCCCTTCTCTCTCGCTCTCGCGCCCTCTCTGCTCTCTCTCTCTTCTCTCTCGCTCTCTCTGCTCTCTCTCTCTTCTCTCTCGCTCTCTCTGCTCTCTCTCTTCTTTCTCGCTCTCTGTGCTCTCTGTCTGCTTTCTCTCTCTCCCTCTTTGCTCTCTCTCTCTCTCTATACTCTCTCTCTCTGCTCTCTCTCTCTGCTCTCTCTCTCTCTTTGCGCTCTCTCTTTGCTCTCTCTCTCTGCTCTCTCTCTATTGTAGCAGTATTAGACACAGATAGCTTGTTTGGTCTTAAAGCAGAGTTGGTGATTCTCCTGTTCCCTCAGGTCACAGACGAAGGGGGCTTCTCTCAGGTCACAGACGGAGGGGGCTTCTCTCAGGTCACAGACGGTGGGGGGTTCTCTCTGCTGACCCGGGAGGAGCTGCTGTCCGTGGTTCTGAAGCAGCAGACGCAGCTGTCGGAGAAGAGCAGAAAAGTTTCCGAGTTAGAACTTTACATCGATCAGCTGCTGGTGAAGGTCATCGAGGAGGCTCCCCACATCCTGATGACCATGACTCCCCTCAAGTAGCACTGATCTGAGCGTTTATGGTCTTCTCCACTGGTCCTTACTGTTCTCCTCTCGCTGTTTCACTGATTTCTCTTTGGTCTCTCTCTCTGATCTCCCTCTGGTCTCTTTCTGATCTTTCTCTCTCGTCTCTTTCTCTGGACTCTCTGCTCTCCCTCTGGTCTCTCTCTCTGGTCTCTCTCTCTGGTCTCTCCCTCTGGTCTCTCTCTCTCTCTGGTCCCTCTGGTCTCTCTCTGGTCCCTCTGGTCTCTCTCTGGTCTCTCTCTGGTCTAAACATGTATTGTCCTCTCCATTGGTCCTTCACTGTTGCCCTTTTGCCGTTTTGCTGTTTTTTGTGTCTATATTGTGTATATTTCCATTGTTTTCCTGGTTCTTCCTGCTCCAGTTTCCAGTATTATTTTTTTGTACAATTTGTTGATTCACCAAAAGTTCTGATGCACTAATAAAGATTTTTACACTACGACTTTTCTGTTTTGGAGAGAAGAGGAGACGTTACATCCTTAAAGTGCTTTGTTCAAGTTCAAGATTAAAGACTGATTAAATGTTCTAAGATCCAATTTAGGATCTGCTAAATTGTTTAACATTCTTTTCCCCATTTTGGCACATTATTTTTTCTCCTGTGGCTCGGCTCCTGATCTTTCACATTCCAGAAGCCAAGGCTAAAGTCGATTCCAGGACTCTTCAAAACAAATCTCGGACCCAGCCCTGGAACCCCACAGTGGAGAAGACCATACATGTTTAGACCAGAGAATGCGAGAGACCAGAGAGCGAGAGACCAGAGAGCGAGAGACCAGAGAGCGAGAGACCAGAGAGCGAGAGACCAGAGAGCGAGAGACCAGAGAGCGAGAGACCAGAGAGCGAGAGACCAGAGAGCGAGAGACCAGAGAGCGAGAGACCAGAGAGCGAGAGACCAGAGAGCGAGAGACCCACACCCTGCTCTGGCCGCCCATATTTGGCAGTGCAGTCCGAGTTTATTGTCCAAAAGGAAAAGTGTCGAGTGTCTTGTTCAGACGTAACGTGTGTCTCCAACGGTCTTTGTGAAGTACTGAGGGAGTCTCGCACAGTTTGTCCAATCTGGTTTTACTGCAAATGGCGTGTGTGTGTGGTTATAAAGAAGCATGTATAAAATATTTTCACTTAATTTTATAATCTCTAAAAGCACAATATGGTTGGAGAAAGGGAGTTGGTAAAAAAAACACAAACACCTGGTTAAACATGAATGAGTGTAATTCAAAGAGTCATATACATCACATTCAATGTACTAAGTTAAGATAAAGAATGGGGAAATAAAATGTGGAAGTGTTTTATCTTTTCATAAAGCAACAACATCAAGTAACAAAAGCCTCGAATAAAAGTATGAAGATTTTTTTTTTCAGGCTAATCACAGTGGATTCACCCAAGAGCAGTAATAGAGTTTTTGAGCTGGGCGGAACTATGGACAGAATTTGGAGTTTTACCCGGACATATTTGACCCCCGTACATAACAAAAGTTGTTCGTCTACTTGACTACTATTCATGCTACTACTGGTTTTCCGTGATTTAAACCAGCGGTGAGAGGCAATGTCTGGCCTGAAATGTCCACAGTGTGGCTCGGTGGACGTGGTGGAGGATGATCTGTACGGTCAGTCCCAGTCCGTGTGCGTGGACTGCGGCTCCGTGGTGCGGGAAGGATCTCTCGCCCCGGACCCAGTGGGAGGCACAGGTGAGAGAGACCCTACAGAGACCTGTAGACCCAGGACTGAGGCGGTAGATCCAGGACTTTGGAAGGACTGAGGCTGTAGACCCTGAAGACTTAGACTGTAGATCCAGGTCTGAGGCTGTAGACCCGGGACTTAGATCCGGGACTGAGGATGTAGATCCATGTTCCTTTCTGATGTTGTTGATTGTTATTGATAGAAAACAGAGGAGTCAGACATGATTGTTCTGACAGCAGCTGACACTGTTCTGATGTGCATTGACTGCTGTGATATTTATTGTTTTGTTTCCACAGATGTCAGCTACAGCTTCTCCACACAGAAGTCCAAAAGGCCGTGTCCAAACCTGATCAAAGGTCAGCGCTAAAGTTATTATCAGAAGAAAGAGTTGAAGACTGTAATGCAGACGAGCACTGGGAGAGAAACCCCCCTTATATTCGCCGGGATGAGTCTCCTGACATGTTGCCATAGAAACCTGCTCCCATTCAAATCAATGGAATTTGGAAATGTCATCTTTCTCCTCTGTCCTCCATTCTTTCCTCTAATTCATTTTTTTCAATTTAATTCAATGTATTTTTTTATCCCTCACAACATGTATAGATCTCAGCAGCAGTCGCCTCAGAGGAAATTTCAAAGTTGTTGATTCGCCAACACAGATCAGAGAATCAAATGTTCAAACACAGAATATGCAATAATAAAAAACATACAGCCATTGGGTCATAGGGAACGGGATAATCACTGTCTAGAATTAAAATAGTCTCTCTCCTTTCTCTCTCTCCTCCTCTCTCCCCACCTCTCTCCTTCCTCTCCCTCCTCTCCCTGCTCTCCCCCTCTCTCCTCTCCCATCTCCCCCCATATCCCCCCTCCCCTCCCTCTACTCTCCCTTCTCCCCTCTCCCCTCTCCTCTCTCTCCCCTTTCCCCCTCCCCCTCCCCCTCTCTCCTCTCTCCCCTGTCCCTCTCCCTTCCTCTTCCCTCTCACCCCCCTCACTTCTCTCCACCTGCCCCCCCCTCCCCCTCTCTCCCTGTCCCTCTCCCCCCCAGGCCTGCAGAGGGCCCGCTCTCTCTGTCGCGTCCTCAGAGTGAACAGTGACATAGAGACTCTGACGCTGTCGTACTTTGAGCGAGCCTACGTCCATGAGCGCTTCCTCTGTGTGAGTCTGGAGAAGAAGGAGGTGCTGGCCGGGTGCTGCCTGCTGGCCAGCTGCAGGACCCACGGCTGGCCGGTCACCATGGCGACCGTGGCCTTCCTGCTGGAGACGGACGCCGCGGCAATGGGGAGCGTGTACCAGGACGCTCTGAGGATCCTTAACGTCCAGGTCCCAGCGGCGAACATCTGTGACATCATCGAGGCGCACTGTCAGCAGTGAGTACTGCTGCTACTGCTACTGCTACTGCTGCTGCTACTGCTACTACTACTGCTACTACAACTGCTACTACTTCTGCAACTGCTACTACTGCTACTGCTACTGCTGCTACTGCTACTGCTACTACTGCTACTGCTACTGCTGCTGCTACTGCTACTACTACTGCTACTACAACTGCTACTACTTCTGCGACTGCTACTACTGCTACTGCTACTACTGCTACTGCTACTACTACTGCTACTACAACTGCTACTACTTCTGCGACTGCTACTACTGCTACTACTGCTACTACTGCTACTACTACTACTACTGCTACTGTTACTACAACTGCTACTACTACTGGTACTAGTAGTACTACTAATACTTCTGCTACTGCTACTACTGCTTCTACTAATACTACTCCTGCAAACACGACTACTTCTCCTTCTACTCCTGCTGCTGTTGCTACTCCTCCTTCTAACCTGAGGTCTCTCTCTCAGATACAGACTCTCTCCTGAGCACGTTCCCTCAGAGCTGGCGGTGGACCTCCGAGCTCTGACTCGACGGACCGTGGCGTTGGTGGAGCTCGCCGCAGAGTCGTGGATTGTGACCGGTCGCCGCCCCGCCCCCCTCCTGACCGCCGCCATGTACCTGTCCTGGCAGTCGCTGCATCCCTCGCCACTGAGGTTGAAGACCGGTCTGGGGAAGTTCTGCCAGATCGGCGGCGTGCCCAAGAGCAAGTACGCCCTGATGCGGGTCACGGAGCTCCGAGAGATGCTGTGCAAACTGGGGAACGCGATCCCATGGGAGAAACAGGAAGTGACCCCCGACAACGTGATGCCGCAGGTGGAGGACATCCTGGACCATAGGTTTGCACTGATGAGGAAAGCACTGAGGAGTTTCGAGGAGTCGCTCCAGACGGAAGCAGAGAAAGCACCAGACCCAGAAGGAGACCAGAGGGACTCACCACTGGAGCGGGAAGTCCGAGGTCTCTCTCTTTCTCTGTTCTCTCTGTGGTCTAATGTTCAGGTCTCTCTCTCCCTGGTCTCTCTCTAGTCTCTCTCGCTTGTTGCGTAGTGGTTTCTCTCCCTGGTCTCTCTCTACACTCTTTCTTTCTGGTCTCTCTCTCCCACTCCCGCTCTGATCTCTCTCTTTGGACTCTCTATTGTCTCTCTCTCTGATCCCTCTCTCTTTCTGGTCCCTGTCTGATCCTTCTATCTTTCTCATCTCTCTTTTGTCTCGCTCTCTGATCTCTCTCTCTGATCTCTCTCTCTCTGGTCTCTCTCTCTCTTTCTCTGGTCTCTCTCTCTGTTCTCTCTCTCTGATCTCTCTCTCTGGTCTCTCTTTTGTCTCTCTCTCTCTCTCTGGTCTCTCTTTTGTTTCTCTCTCTCTCTGGTCTCTCTCTCTCTGTGATTTCTCTCTGGTCTCTCTTTTTTCTCTCTCTCTGATCTCTCTCTCTGATCTCTCTTTTGTCTGTCTTCTCTCTCTCTGGTCTCTCTCTCTCTGATCTCTCTCTCTCTGGTCTCTCTTTTGTCTCTTCCTCTCTCTGGTCTCTCTTTTGTGTCTTCCTCTCTCTGGTCTCTCTCTGGTCTCTCTCTCTGATCGCTCTTTTCTTTCTCTCTCTCTCTTTTGTCTCTCTCGCTCTCTCTCTCTCTTTTGTCTCTCTCTCTCTCTTTCTCTCTCCCTCTCTGATCTCTCTCTCTCTGTGATCTCAGACACAGCAGAAGACCCAGGACTCTCACCTTCAGAGCGGTCGGAGGCTGGGGCAGACTGGGGGAAGGGCGTGCTGTTCGCCCCTCCCTGTGTGGGTCGCCCTCGGAAACGGAAGAGGACGCCAAGCAGCAGGACAGACGTGACGGGGGACGAGGACATCTCTGACAGCGAGATTGACTCCTACATAAGAACTCCTCGAGAAGTTCGAGACTTTGTAGCCGCTCAGAAACTCATCTCCACCGAGAAGGACAACGTGTGATTCTTCAGCGTTTGGACTGGTCTCTCTTTGGTCTCTCTCTCTCTGGTCTCTCTCTGGTCTCTCTCTGGTCTCTCTCTGGTCTCTCTCTCTGGTCTCTCTCTCTGGTCTCTCTCTCTGGCTTTTCTTTGTCTCTCTTTCTGTCACTCTGGTCTGTCTCTCTGGTCTCTCCCTGGTCTCTCTCTGTTTCTTGCTCTGGCCCTCTCTCTCTCTTTCGTTCTCTGGTCTCTCGCTTTATGGTCTCTCTCTCTAGTCTCTCGCTTTATGGTCTCTCTCTCTGGTATCTCTCCTTGGCCTCTCTCTGGTCTCTCTGTCTCTCTCTCTCTCTGGTCTCTCTCTGTTTCTTGCTCTGGTCTCTCTCACTGGTCTCTCTCTCACTGGTCTCTCTGGTCTCTCTCTCCTCAACAGTCTGTGTTTTTTGTTGTACTAAAAAGTTTAAAAGTTCATGATTTTTTATTTCAATTATTCTGGACTCTGACGCAGTAAGCTCTTTGTCCACCAGGGGGCGCCCAAGTGAGAAATGGTTTTTGAGTGAGTTGAGCTCTGGAGGAGGTTAAAGGGAGATCTGTGCTTCTCTGTAAAAAAACAGTCCGGAGTGAACTGATGAACTGCAGCCGCTCTGAATCCACCAGGTCAAATTTATTTATTGTTTTTTTTTTTTTTTTATGATTATTTGTTTATTTATCCCTGTTCACAACATTAATTTGTAACTGAATAAAATTTCAGCAGCAGTCATCAGGCTCCTCTCTCGAGTCTCTTTTTCAAGTATCGCTCCTGTTATTTCTCCGGTGTCTCTCTCTCTCTGCTAACTCTCTCTTTCTAGTCTCTCTCTCTCTTGGATCTTAGACATTTTGAATCCGACATCAATAAATCTCAGAATCAGGAGGAAACACCAGGGTTTTTAGAGCAGAAGGTGGACGAGAATCTTATTTATTATTCTGTTTTAAACATCAACCTGTGATGACTCGGAGAGACCAGAGAAGGACCTGAGAGAGACCACAGAGAGACCAGAGAGAGAGAGACCAGTGAAGGACCAGAGAAAAACCACAGAGAGAGACCAGAGAAGGACCAGGGAGAGACCAGAGAGAGACCAGAGAAAAACCACAGAGAAGGACCAGAGGGAGACTAGAGAAAAACCACAAAGAGAGCCCAGATAGGGACCAGAGGGAGACCAAAGGCAGGTAAACAGATGATCAATGTTAAACAGGTCACATTGTGTTGAGCAGATGTTCTCTCCACAGATTTGGAAACAGGTTTTACAGGATTATTGATTCAAATACATTACATTTCACTAAAGAGCTTTCAATCAGAGTGAAGACTTTAATGCAGCTCTCAGATGTGGCTGTAAAGATACTCAGAGGAGACTGGACTCTCTCTCTGGTCCTTTTCTCATCTCTCTTCTCTCTGTGGTTTCTCTCCGGTCTCTCACTGAACTCTCTGGTCCTTTTCTCATCTCTCTCTTCTCTTCTCTCTCTCTGGTTTATTTTTCTGGTCTCTTTCTGGTTGCTCTCTCCAGTCTCTTTCTTGTCTTACTCTCTCCCTTTGGTCTCTCCCTCACTTTGGTCTCTTCCTCTCTCGGGTCTCTCTCTAGTCTTTCCCTTAGATCCCTTTCCGGTCTCTCTCTGGTCTCTCTCTGGTCTCTCCCTTTGGTCTCTCCCTTTGGTCTCTCTCTGGTCTCTCCCTTTGGTCTCTCTCTGGTCTCTCTTCTGGTCTCTCTCTGGTCTCTCTTCTGGTCTCTCTCTGGTCTCTCTCTGGTGTCTCCCTTTGGTCTCTCTCTGGTCTCTCTCTGGTCTCTCTTCTGGTCTCTCTCTGGTCTCTCCCTTTGGTCTCTCTCCGGTCTCTCTCTGGTCTCTCTCTGGTCTCTCTCTGGTCTCTCTTCTGGTCTCTCTCTGGTCTCTCTCTGGTCTCTCTCTGGTCTCTCTCTGGTCTCTCTCTGGTCTCTCCCTTTGGTCTCTCTCTCTCCGGTCTCTCTCTGGTCTCTCTCTGGTCTCTCTCTGGTGTCTCTCTCTGGTCTCTCTTCTGGTCTCTCTCCGGTCTCTCTCTGGTCTCTCTCTGGTCTCTCTCTGGTCTCTCTCTGGTCTCTCTCTGGTCTCTCTTCTGGTCTCTCTCCGGTCTCTCTCTGGTCTCTCTCTGGTCTCTCTCTGGTCTCTCTCTGGTCTCTCTCTGGTCTCTCTCTGGTCTCTCTCTGGTCTCTCTCTGGTCACTCTCTGGTCTCTCTCCGGTCTCTCTCTGGTCTCTCTCTGGTCTCTCTCTGGTCTCTCTAGTCTCTCTCTGGTCTCTCTCTGGTCTCTCTCTGGTCTCTCTTCTGGTCTCTCTCCGGTCTCTCTATGGTCTCTCTCTGGTCTCTCTCTGGTCTCTCTCTGGTCTCTCTCTGGTCTCTCTCTGGTCTCTCTCCGGTCTCTCTCTGGTCTCTCTCTGGTCTCTCTCTGGTCTCTCTCTGGTCTCTCTCTGGTCTCTCTCTGGTCTCTCTCTGGTCTCTCCCTGGCCTCTGTTTTGAGAGTTTTTTCCAAAGTCCTTCACGCTCCTCTTGTTGTTGTTGTTTCAAAATAATGAGATGAAATGTTTTAATTATGTCAAACTTTGGCTCCAGTTCTGACGCAGACTCGCCTCCAACATCCATTTGTGTAATTGGTGATAAAACTTCACCTGCAGCAGTCTGATGAGAGAGCACTTTTTCAAGATTTCCAGGAGAAAACTCATTTAAATATATTTTATTCTTAAAATTTACAAGACATTTACGACTCAGGTTTTTCTCTCCACAACCTCCAACTCAGACGAACAATCTGTGTGTCCTCGGAGCTGAAGGTTGAAGGTTTGAATCCGCCCACAATCACAACAGCCTCAGTCCTGGGTCTACAGCCTCAGTCTTGGGTCTACAGCCTCAGTCCTGGATCTACAGCCTCAGTCCTGGGTCTGCAGTCTCAGTTTTGGGTCTACAGCCTCAGTCCTGGATCTACAGCCTCAGTCCTGGGTCTACAGTCTTAGTCTTAGATCTACAGCCTCAGTCTTGGGTCTACAGCCTCAGTCCTGGATCTACAGCCTCAGTCCTGGGTCTACAGCCTCTGATCTTTAGTCTCCTCTGAAACTGCAGCTGCTCTGGTTTAGAGCAATACACAAAAACCTTGAATGTTTTTTATCAAAACCACAAAAATAAAAACGTTCCAAATTCTCATTCTGCAGTATTTTCAGACCTGATCTGATCAGAGACATCAGCTACAACCTTATTGAACACTGTCCCTGTGGTAAACTCAGACCAAACTGCTGCGGTGAGGGGGGAGGGTAAGGGGGGGGGGGGGGTGTAGGGGAAGCCCTTCTGTTTGGAGAATACTAATGAGTGTCGGAGGCTCAACACAGCCTCAGGTCTGTGATTGGCTGAGAGAGCAGGGTCGTCTTTTCCACTGATAAAGTTGACCCAAAGAAGCGACAGAGACAAAAGTTCATGAAGATAAAGATATTGTTTTGACAGATTTCAGATTCAGAGTCATTGTTTATCGAAGGTTCTGAGAAACACAAACACATCTCGTCTCGGTCTCGTCTGTGATGAAACATCGCCGTGACGACCGTTTAGTCGCGAGACACAAAACTGTCAAGAACACTTCATTATTGAGTGTTCTCGAGGAACTCGCTCTCTGAGTCTCGTCTGAGTCTCGTCTGGAGAAAAAACCCCAATCGCTGTGACCCAGATGTGAAAGAAGAGACACACTGCTTTGGAAAATATGTTTGGTGCTGAGACAGAAACCGAGAGAAGGGTCTACAGCCTCAGTCCTGGGTCTACAGCCTCAGTCCTGGGTCTACAGCAGTAGATACTATAGACACTGCTATTGAGCAAGTGGTGAAAAGGTGGTACTGCACCCTGAACTCCTCAGAATAGAGACGGCGCTATTGAGCAAGTGGTGAAAGGTGTTACTGCACTGTATTTTCCAAGAGGTGTCACTTTGAATGTTTAATGAGTTGCCCTCTGTTGACCCCAGTGTGTAAGTGTGCTTCACAGTTGTCTAAAGTGATTTATAGAACAGAGCTTAGCGTAACACCTGCGTAGGGTCACACCAAGCTTATTCTAAAACAAACAGTGATGCCCTGGTTAGGGAAGAAGTGTTAATAGGTAATCAAGCTGCAGGGGAGGACCAGCCCCCCAGACCTATCAACCTACAGCAAACAGTGTAAGCGAATCATGATGAAGGGGTGGGAGGGTGTACTAACAGCGAATCATGATGAAGAGGTTGGAGGGAGGATGGACCTACTACGTCCAATCAGGGTGATACATGTAGTACCATGTGATGAAAAGGTGGTATGGCGCCCTATTTTCCAATAGGTAACACTTGAGTGAAGCAGATCCCTTTCTCAAACTATGGGTCTCCCTGAGGTTTCGCACTTTTTTCATATGAGTTTTTCCTTGCTGATGCAGGATGGGTTTGTTGCACAGTTAGTGAGAAACTAGAAGGACTGTGGTGATGATCCAGGACACTTTAATATTCTACAACATGTACGGGCATGTGGTCTATATTCTTTATGTGTTTTAACTGTTTTAACTTAACGGGCGGCACGGTGGCTGAGTGGATAGCACTCTCGCCTCTCAGCAAAAAGGTCCTGGGTTCGAATCCCGGTCGGACCAGGGCCTTTCTGAGTGGAGTTTGCATGTTCTCCCCGTGTCTGCGTTGGTTTCCTCCGGGTACTCCGGTTTCCCCTACCACTAAAAATATGTCCAATAGTTCTGGCATGTGCCTCCTGTACTGGCGACCCCACTCCCATCTCTGTGTGGAGTGAGAGACAAATGCCCAAAAATTAACAATTGTAAACCGCTTTGAGACTCAGATCTGCAGTGAAAAGGCGGTATATAAATAAAAACTTACTTACTTACTTACTGTTGATTCTCCGATCTGTGTTGGTGATTTTCAGTAGTTTTTTGGTAAGTCCTCTGAGATGACTCCAGTTGTGATTTAGGGCTATACAAGAATAAATTGTATTGTATTGTATAGGTGTTTTTTTTTTATTTTTCTGCAACA